CTCAAACCAGACTCTACATGCTTTCTTTGATGGATTTCAAACATGTGTTTTACGTAAATTCATGGTCATATATTTGTTTGTGAAATATTTGTAAATGATGTGTGATACAGTGTAGATAGATGGCAATCAGAATGAACTATAAGTAATTGTTACATATTCACTGTAATTATATTAACTCCAGGTGGGATAAATGTTTGAGAAAGAAATCCAAGCCACAGCTAGTTGAATTGATTAATAAATGGCCAAATGTTGCAAAGGTAAAATGATTAATATTTCTATACTGCATATAATTTTAGTTTGTACTTGACATACCCTTGATTTATGAGGTTATTGAATTATGATAATTATGTAAAACAGTTTGTTAATTTGATATATCTATAGAACCATATTGATCGTTTGAACTCCAAAACAAACTTCTCTACTTATACATATTTTCTAGTTTCTATTACCAATGAGAAATTATGTCCATTTGGTTCAATATTATCAAAGAAAATTATAGAAAAATGCATCAAAAAATTGAAATAAAATGTTGACAGGAAATAATTATATGGCACTCAAAATAAACATATCACGTCAATGTGGGTTCTAGAGGTATAGATTCTTTATTTAATACAAACAACAAAGTTACAGAGAGGTAACAATTACATGCATGATTGATCTTGTTCTCAAAATGACACTTGAGATTACATCTGTGTTAGAGTCTCAGAGTCTATGAAGGAGGGTTGGTGTAAAACCAGTCGTTTGTTTACTGAGTTTTTCACAATTAGCCTTTGTCTTGCGATATAAGAAAGAGAGTGCATAACAAAGATCAAAGGTAGACAGCATAATGATAATTCAAACTTAAACTATGTTACTTTGCTGATTTTTAGGAGTTTTTGTGAATCCCAAGAAAGTTTATTTATTTATTTTATTGTCAGTTACAGTTATAAAAATGTCTGTCACTAGAACTTGTTTACTCATTTGTTTGTTTGAATTGAATATCTTCATGAATAATTAACTACTTGATGTAAAGCTTAGTGGAGATGGAGACATCTTACAAATGTATTTTCTAAATTACCCAAAACATAATTATGTATATTTGAATGGTGACAAAAGTTCATTTTTACACTCAATGAGTTATAGTAAGTGAGTGAATTGTTATGTAATCTGGATTTATTCATTATTTCAGAAGTACTTGGATAGGATGAAAAAAGCTGAGGACACCATTCATAATTTAAAGGTAATGACAATTCAACGAAGATTTTGCAGCAGATTTTGATGATTTAGTTCTGTGATCGGTAATATCTAATTGCAAACTTCCATACTATTATATACTAGAATGCAAGTTTTGTTTTCATAATTTATGAAATGTTTGTACAATATTCAAAACTCCCCAGATTAGCTAAAAGTCTTACATCAGTGACACTTCACACAAAAATCAACTTTGGCATTCAAAGGTTTAAAAGTCAAAGGTTAAGGCAGCATACTATTGCAATAAATGATATTGTTTGTTTGTTTGTTTGTTAGAAAAGAGATACCAATTCATTGTGTCTTATAAAAATGAAATCATTTTCTTAAATTATGGGTATGATGTCACACTTTACCCATAATCCTTTGCTAGAGTATGAAGTTAAATGTTTGAATATCAAGAAAATGAAAAGTGATATAAAAATACTGTAAATTGCATTCTCTATAAGGCAGCATAAAGGTGTTTGCCCAGACTCATACACAACTGTAGCTTTTATATTTTGCATATCAAGTGTGATCAGTTTACAATTAGCATAAATATACAATGAATTAAAAGTTTTGGGAAAGAAATGGGTCACAGTTCTACACTAGAGACCATATGAGCTAGGTCAAACGGTCTATTTGCATATCAATATGCATGCGCATAATGGCTTCCGGTAGAGTGCACAAAAGGTCTATTCTACTTCCTAATAACATGTTGTCTTATATAGGCATATGATCCAAGTTATTGTTTTCTTCATAGGTTGTGGTCTATGATTTTGCATACATGACCAATAGAATAAATATTAAAGGCACACAGTCACCATTACAGGTGAGAAGTTTCCGCTTACTGGTAGTTAAGGGTATTGGTTTTAGAATAAATATCCCAGGAAATTATGCTCTGAAAAGTGGAAAATAATTGCTGTTGACAATAAATATATTCAGTAAATATATTCGACCTCAAAATATTGATTTATTCCTGTTGACCTCCTTTGCTTGATATTTCAGGCTGTATACAAAAGTAGGGAATGCTTAAACCATGATGTCATCTGCAAATACTTGCTATCGTGCTGGTAAGTACACAAAACTACCCACAATGCACCATCCCATCAGTAAATACTTGCTGTCATGCTGGTAAGTGCACAAAACTACCCACAATGCACCATGCCATCAGTAAATACTTGCTGTCATGCTGGTAAGTACACAATACTACCCACAATGCACCATCCCATCAGTAAATACTTGCTGTCATGCTGGTAAGTACACAAAACTACCCACAATGCCCCATGCCATCAGTAAATACTTGTCATGCTCGTAAGTGTACCAAATTACCCACAATGCACCATAGTAAATCCACTGTAACACATCAAAATCAACTTATCTGCACTGCATCAATCTCAACCAAAATTACCCATAATGCAACTGAATTTTCTTACTTTCCTATAATGCATCAGTCTTCCTCATACACTCATCTTGAAGTTTTCCACATCAGAATAACAACAAAATATTTCCATATCTTGGTTCTTTAGGTATAAATTTGGTGCCAAGTTATATTTCACTGGACTCTTTTGTTACATTGTGTATGTGGTGTTGATGACAGCTGTGATTTGGTTAGAAATGTTAAATAACCCGATATCTCTTCGAAATCAGACAACGGATTCCCAGTTGCAGTACAATGTAAGATATTATAACTAATATTAAACCGCATTATTCACAAATTTTATTGATTATCATAAGTCATGCAAATTTGTTTGTCATCCATAATTTTTGTGTAGTTTACTACTTGTGAATGCCCTGAATTTATTATTAAAATGAAAACATACTAGTCTAAATTTTAAGGTAGATGAGTTGCAAATACATACTGCATGTGAAAAATCATTTAGCCTAAATATTTGTTTTAGCTCTGCTGTCGAGCGGAGCTTATCATATGAGTGATTGTTCGTCATCGTCCGTGTCAATGTTTTACTTTTTTGACTTCTTCTTGAAAACTACAAGCCTGAATGCTTTGATACTTGGTGTATATGTACCTTGGGTAGACCTCTCTCAGATTTGTTCATTTCACGATGATATCTTCAATTATCTAATTTTAATGAATTCTTTTTTCATTTTTGGTGAAAAGTGATATTTTCGAATTCCAATTGCTTTGATACTATACATATTGTTCATTTTCTAATATCTTCAGTTCTTTAATTGAAATGTGCATTGCTAACAGCGAAGCTATCTCAGCCAACAGGCTTTTTGTTGAAAGTATAGTATACTTTACTGGCCATTCATTTACCCAACATTAGAAAGATAAATGCATTTCTTTGCATGAGTGCACAATGCTCTTTTTCAGGCTGTAATATTTGTGACTCTCTTCTACCGATACTCGATATATCAAGAACTGCTTGTTGAATGTTTTATGACAATAAATTTTAGCTTAGTACATGTCCTGGGATAGAACACAGCCCTGTTTGAAATCTGTGCATATTAATTTCTTGTCAACTTTTCTATTGTTATAAAGTGCATGCAAACTTCTAATGATTTTAAATGACCACGCAGTTATTATATTAATTATTATATAACTTACAATATTATGGAAATATTTTCTTTATTTATAGCTAGAAATATCAATTTTGGAAAAAGTTCTTGGTGGTATTGTTTTATTTATTGCCGTGTTCGACATGATTTCTGTTGTCTACTCTATAGTCATACAGGTAAGTTACTTTGTGATGTCAAAGTTCATGAATTAAGAGCAGACTGAACGTACAAAACTAGTTGGCATCAGAGTAAACCCCAAATTAACAATATCCTAAACAAATCAAGATTTACCTAAATATTTTCACAACCAGACTTCTTCGCCCACATTTTTTCTGCACTTTTTTCCTATATTCTTAAATATATCTGGTAATGATTCCTGATTTTGGAGCCAACAGACATAATTTGGCTATTCTTGTCCCAATCTTCTGAAGGAAAGTGCAGGCTATAAACGGGACTATTTTGTGAAGAAAAAAGGAAACTGGTGGTGAAAAGGTTAATAGATGAAACGTAGTATATTTCTAATTCCCTTTTCAGAGAATGGACAGTGTAAACCTCCGCCTTTTAATGGAAACACTTCAAGATATTACCACCATACTTTTCATCATTTCCATGTACGTAGATATAGTAAGATCATCATTTCAGATTTCCATGGCAACCAGTGCCATTTTAACCTCATGGCTGGTTCTTGTGTTGCAAGTACAGAGGTGAGTTATGTGATGTTATAGTGACACTCCTTGTGACATGCCTAGTGTCTCTGTATCTGTAACCCATATTCTTTTCCAATGTATGACATTAATTTTATTGTCCTCAGATTTCTCATTTTCATGATTAATATTAAATGATAAGATGGAAGGAAAAACATTTCAGTGTAGTAAATCCTAATGAGTAAATAAAGAGGAATTAACAATATATTCTGTGAATATTGATTAGAAATTCAACCCTTGTACTAAAATTGAGGGTTCAAGAAGCAGAATATGGGATTAATGCATACTCTGTTATCTCAAGTGATCAGAATATAGACTACACTTAAATTATATTGTAAATGATAAGATGGAATGGAATAATATACTATTACACTTATATTTTGCAGGTTACCAGTGTTTGGTTTATACGCAGTCATGGGAAAATGTTATTTAAAAACTTTATTGAAAATGAGTCCAGCATTAGTATTTCCTGTCATTGGATTTGGGATTGCTTTCTATATTCTTTTGTCCAGTCAAGTAAGTAACTCTTAATTGCCTTGCAATGCAGTAGATTTAAATTGCAGTTGTTAATTACTTCTGCTATACTGGCATCATAATGGACATTTTCTATCTTTATCTCGTTACGTGATAT